CAATACACGTAGCCGGTTCCATGTGGCATTTCTCAAGACCAAGAAGACTTAACAGTAGGGTGCTCTCCTAATGCACCGTTTTTTAATGCGGGCCAAGTACTGGCCAGGACGCGAAATATCGACTACAATGGAATCCGCTTAATAAATCCACCTTGGTGACAAGGTGTTTGAATTTATTAAGCGGTGGCTTTATTAACCGGAGTCAGTTATTTTTTTATTAAAAAGCATGTATTGCAGCTGTGCGTTCCGTTCTCCTGCAATACAAGCGTGTAAGCTAGCATTCCTCATTGGCTTTCCTATTCCAATGAAAGTGACCAGGGGCTCCGCCATCGGTGGAGTCCGGACCTTTAACACGCGCACCGACGGGGGTCTGCGCCAACTTAGTACCGACGGGGGGGCGGATGACCGCCCCCCCCCCTGAATCTCGAGAACGAAGATAGCGACAAGCAGAAAACGGCATCGGATACGCACGGACAAGGTCTACAATTTTTACACAGGTCATTTTCAGGACAGGTCAAAGATGACGTCACAGGGGTCGAAAAAGTCAAAATGGCGGCGCTAGATATGGAGAGAGTTTTCTCGAATAACTTTTGAATTAGTCAAGATAGGAACAAACTAAGGGCATCATCGTGATCCTTTCGTCAATCCGCATCGAATGATATATAGGTTGACCTCGAAAGGTCAAGGTCAAAGGTTGACCTCAGGTCACGTGACCTCGAGGTCATCATGTATATCAATCGATGCGTCTTGACGAGCTCAATCACATGTATTTCAATCAATCACATGTATTTGAACATCCAGACGCATGTATGAATTAGTACAAAAGCACTTACGTGCTTAAGTCGAGGTACATCATTCACACTGGTCCATGATAATTGTCAACAAACACCCCACATCACACATCACTTTTCCGTGGCTTTCCTACCTTTAACAAATCATATTTCTTTACAGTATCTCATATTTAAGACTCAAAGCGCTTGGTTTCCCTGATATACTTTTGTACCGAAGCAGCCACAGCCACACACAGGCTACTGTTTTTTCCAGCACCATGAAGTATAATAGTTAATTTATCTTTTGAGTTAAGCGTATGGTAATTATTTATTAAATGTCTTAACGATGCTTCAAGCTCTTCCCTTTTTTGTGCGTACTGCGGACAAGACAAGAAATAATGGTGTACTGATTCTGTGAGGGAATTGCATTTACAATATGGTGAATCTACCAAAGATGAATTTATTTGAAACAAATGAGAGTTTAAGCTGGACATACCAAGCCTGAGGCGAGTGTGCAAAATGTTATCTCCCTTGGTTCCCAAGCTATAATAAAACAAAGGTTTCGCTACCCCATACATCTTCTCTAAGGTTTGTTTAAATTCAATAGCATTTCTGATTGATTTGGTTTGTTCTGATAGTCGATTCCATCTTTTAATGGTCGAAGGAAAAAATGAGTTTTTGAAGGAAGATAAGCGATTGAATGGTACACTTATGCTTCGAGAGTTCCTGAGGTCACGCTGAGTTTGTTCGCATCTTGTGCCGGGGATAACGTCTAATAGATAGCGGGGCGCATGGTGCTTGATTTTGTGAAATAGTTTAAGCGTGCTTATTTCTCTTCTTGTATGCAATGTTGTAAGTCCTAATTCTACTAGCAGTGATTTTGTTGGTGTCCTTCGAAAAGCTCCGGTTATGAGCCTTGCTGCTCTGTTTTGAACCCTTTCTAAGTTTAAAGAGTCTCTAAAGGTAAGGGAGTCATGAAAGACTGCATCTCCATAATCAAGTAGGGGTCGTACATATGTTAAGTAGATTTGTTTTAGAACGCGTCGAGGAATAAATTTCGCCACGGGGTACAATGGAGCTAGTGCAGCATTTGCTCTTCTTACTATCTCTTTTGTATGCAGATGAAATTTGAGGTCAGTGGTTATATTTAAGCCAAGGTGTTTGTGATTAGCTACTGTGGGGATCGGACTACGTCCAAAGGTAAGGGAGGGTGGGCTAAGTGTGCGTTTATTAGTGAATGTTTGCTGTGTAGTTTTTGACGAGTTAAATGTGATTGCCCATTTCTCTCCAAAGTGTTCTATTTTTGCAATGTCTTGTTGAATTGATCGTTCTGCTTCTGACGAGCCGTGTAAATGAGACTTCAACAAAATGGTGTCATCAGCAAAGAAGAGTAGCTCATTTTCGGTTACACCATCTAGGTCATTAAGATACACTAATGCCAGAAGTGGTCCTAAAACCGATCCTTGAGGGCATCCTGCGTTAATTGTTTGCGTTCTCGACAGCTGAACACAATGAGACCATCCGCGCAGCTCTATCTTGTTCCTGTACGGAATTATTGGTAAAACACCTTTGGTGACCTTTGATGACGTCACATGACCTTACAGCTTCCTAACAGCAAAACAGACCTCAAGGTAGTGAAGGTTGATCGTATATGAAGTCATGTATGGTATATGGGGCCATTCCGACCCGTTTTAGTGGTAAAAACAGGGAGTTGATTTTTTCCCCATTGACTTATAATGGGGAGGTCGCGAAATTGACCTGACCTTAGGTCACCGATATCAAAATTCCGAGATATACAAATTGTAGCTACTAATGACCTTATAACATCCTGCGACTTTCAAAGGCCTCCGACATCTACTGTAGCTCTGGCACGGTGACAAAGATGCAAAAAAGCGACTTGAGGTTGGGTCATTCAAAGTGACCTGGTGACCTGACCTTAAAAGTTAGGAGGTTCAAACTTGCACACGATGTGTAAAATTGATGAGCGAATAGTCGTACCAAATTTACGCCCCGCGGTTTTCCCGCTATTCGCGAAAAACCTCGGGGGGGGGCGGATATCGGCCCCCCCGTCGGTCCGCGTGTTAAGCCGAGGTTCTACAAGGCCCGAAACGTGCCACTGGCCTACCGTGACCAAGTGGAGGCAGACCTGGACCAGCAGATCCAGCAGGGACTCTGGGAGCCAGTCAAACACAGTAAGTGGGCCGCTCCGTTAGTGGTGGTTCCGAAACCCGGCGGAAAGATCCGACTGTGTGGGGATTATAGGCTGACTATCAATAGGGCCGCACACGTAGAGCAGTATCCACTTCCACGGGTGGAAGAGCTTTTGACTAAGCTGGCCGGCTGCACATTATTTTCAAAGATAGATCTTAAGTGTGCATACAATCAGATGGTACTCGATGAAGGCTCACGGGAATATTTGACTGTCAACACATCCAGGGGTCTCCTGAGACCGACCCGACTCAGTTTTGGCTACGCCTCAGCGCCATCTCTGTTCCAAAGGACGATGGACACGCTGCTAGCCGGGATCCCTGGCGTCTGTGTATTTTTGGATGACGTTGTGGTGCGGGCCCCACAGCAGAGAATCACGGGGAGGCACTGCGCGAGGTTCTACACAGACTGAGTGAGGCAGGGCTTAAGGCGAACCGGGAAAAGTGTTGATTTGGCATGAAAAGTGTGACCTACTTGGGGCACAAAGTAAGCGGCAATGGGGTGGAAACAACCGATGACAAGGTCACGGCCATCACCAGTGCTCCCGAGCCGAGAGACGTCGCCTCTCTCCGCAGCTGGCTAGGCCTGGTAAACTACTATGGCAAGTTTTTGCAGGGCCTTGCATCAAAGCTCTCGCCCTTGTATGCACTTCTCAGAACCAACCGGCCATGGCGGTGGACAGAGGTTGAGCAGAGGTCTTTTGACGAGGCAAAAGGTCTGTTAAAAAATCCACCGGTGCTGGCCCATTTCGATCCAGCTCGACCGGTGATCCTGGCCTGCGACGCGAGTCCGGTGGGATTTGGCTGTGTACTCAGCCAACGGACGCCACAGGGAGAGCGCCCAGTCGCACAGTCGCATTGCTGAACACCTGGTAGGATAGAACGTGGTAACTTCAGTGCCGTGCCTCCAGCGGTCTAACGGACCTCTCATGTAAGATTTAGCCAACTACCATGTTTAATCTTTAATCTAGAGCATGGGGCTTATTGCCCCAGGCCGTGGGGCGTTTTACTCTGGGCTTGGTGCCGGCGGCCGACCCAAATATCAACTTTCTATCTTTATTTTTGACCTCCAAATTGTAAGAAACAACTCCAACATGTATAGGGCATGGTGACGTCATACGCATTTTCATGAGTTTGAGGCACTTCTGAACATCGCATGTGAAAACAAATGGCAGCATTAGATTCCTGGGACAAAGTCGTCCAGAAAAGTGCATTTTTTATGCCAAAAATAAGAAATTGAAAAATCGATTTTTTTCTCGGTGATGTATAATATAAACGATGTTTTATGCTTGCTGATGACCAGGAGAGTGACTTTGGGCTACATATAACCATGACCATCGGATTCGGCGTGAAAAATAAGCCATAAAACATGTGTCGCATGCCCATGTGGCAGAAAGTGAAAATCTTGACCTTTCGTGACCTGACCTGACCAGCTGACCTTGACCCGTGCTTACATAGTATGACCCCTATACGCACACAGTATCTTCAATAGGCCTTTGAGGTCATTTTTGGTGAGTTTCGAGCAGGAACTATCGATTCCGCTGTCCGTAAGCCTCATCATGCAAAACCCCAGAATTTGATCTTTGACCTGCCATTGACCCGAAAGTTGACCTCAATCTTAAAATGTTAAGAGTGGTTTGGAAAGGTCTCGTGGAGACCTTTCGAACGCCGCCTCGCGGGGCTCAATACGACCATTGGTTCTCGAGATAACAGGGGGGTCGGATCCGACCCCCCCCCCCCAGGCTGTCGTGGGTACGGAAATAGCCCAGGCGGTGCCGGGTTAAGCGATGACCCTTTGGCTCAAAATCAGCTGTTAAGCTTATCAAGGCCTCAGGGAAGGTTGCAGGAACGCAAGGACCTTCTCAGCAACGCGATATTTGGGAGTAACTATATTCTAAGTTACATCGGATAGACGGAAGGCACCAAAACTTTTGACGCACAATATAAAGGAATATCGGAGCTGGTGAACGGGGGCTGGTCGGGATGGCCGTGCCTTGGCGGTACGACCCGGGGCAGCGCCTACCTGCTGCTTCCAGAAGGTGACGATCTCCGACAGGCCCTTCTCCTTGAAGAACTCAGTAAAGTATGCTTCAGTTTGCTTGTTTGCCGGCAGGAACTCCATCAGACTAAGACGGTGGGCAAAAAAAAAAACCGCTGTCACCACTAGTCGACCAGTGAAAACACACCATATCACACCAACCGTCACCATTAGTCGACCAATGAAAACACACCAGAGGCCTTTTGCACCAAAATACCTAGCTAGGTAGAATCGGCAAAATACCTACCTAGTAAAACTACCTACGGCGGTAACTTCTCTTGCACCATCCAACCTACCTACCAAGGTAAATTTGACAGCTCGCGTTTTTAGGATTTGTTTTGATTGGCTGTTTGGCGACGAATTATTTGTGGGCGCAAACAAAAAGTAACGAAGGAAAACAATTAAATGGATATTGTTTTTATTAATATACATTTTGGTATTATGAAATCATTTTTCATTTACGTAAATACCGATAGAAGTTATTTTGATATTAAATTACTTGAGCAAATAAGCTTCGTTTCCATGGCAACCAGTGAGTCTTCAACCTGGCTGTTCTACTACGGAGGTTTATCGCCTTGGTACGGAGAAGCACCTCTGTGAACCCATGGAGCATTTGGTCAATTATATTATTATTCACTCATAAAACATTGATTTATCATTGTCTAAACATTTTGTAATGCCTAATTTACATAAAAGTACCCGCATGAATTGGTAAGTTCTTATGCCGCTCGGTAGAATTTCTAGGTAAATTTTCACGGTAGCGTTTTTTTCGGTAGGTAGTTTGGTGCAAGAGAATCTAGGTAAAATCTGAATTTACCTAGGAAGGTAGTTTGGTGCAAGAGGCCTCAGCTTAACCCTCGCCCGCACATGGGGGGGCACCCCCCAGGCAGTCTTTCTGCTCTGCACTCAACATTTTTAGAGCTAGAAGCCTGATTTTTCGTATAGCTGCTCCTCTATTCTTTCTTGATGTCCACTGAAAATTTCAAGCTTCTGTGGTTTTTGGTTTCGGAGAAATGACCTTGTTTTTCAGGTCATATCATGACCCAAATGACCAATTTTTAACATCTTGCGTTGGCTATGGGCCTTGTGAGCTTTTGACACCATGATTTCGGCCTTTTTGGCCAGTCTTACCTCTCACCTACCATGGAACATGTTGTTCGACGATGCACAGGTGTCAAGGTCAGGGTCAAGGTCAACCTACAGGGTGTCCCGAAATTGATGCGCGGCTGTTTTATCCTCAATAACTTATGAAGTGCTTGAATTTATTTCACGGCTTATATGTTATCAAGTCCCCATTCAGTTGCATACGCAGTCTATTGCACTCTAGCGTGTCACGTTCCAGGTTGTCAAGAGTCTCTCCTTTGAAAGTACGCCATGTCGTTTATGTCTTCTTAAACAGCTTCTTCTCTGAGCTAGCCCGTGGGAGCTTGCTGAACTCTTTTCTGACGATTGTCCAGATAATTTGGATCGGGGACAGGTCCAGACTGTTGCCAGACCATGTCCCCGTCTCCCAGAGGCCTGGGAGCCTCGCTCGGCACCAGTCCTGGGTCTTCCTGGCGTGATAAGCTGGATCACTTTCTTGCTGGAAAATGGCTCTGGACATGTCCGACAAAAGTTTGACTCTGGTTTTTGAACCATTTACCTTTTCCCCAGCATCTTTATGGCAGCATTCTTCTTCAGCACCTCGCTGACATAGTAATCAGCAGTCACGGTCTGTCCCCAAGGCACCTCGTGAAGCTCAGAGAGCCTCTGTAGTTCATCATGCTCCAAAAGATATTCTTCAGAAGACGTTTCACCGTCTCGACAGCGGACTCCTCAGAGCTGCCGTTGGCCTACATTTCGATCGTTCTGTCAGTTAGGGGCTTAGAGACCACAAAAGGCACCTCATCACTAAAAAGGACGCATCTCCAGTTCTTAATGGTCCAGTTTTTGTGGGTCTTGGCGGAATCCAGCTGCCTGCACTTCTGGACCACGGTAAGCCAGGTCGGCATCCTGAATCTGAGCGGCTTCAGCTTCAAGATAGTCTTCAAATACTGGTGGAGGGTCGATTTGGATGCTGGGACATGCATCTCATTCAGTTTTCTTGTCAGCGATGTTGAATGGTGCTTTTTAAAGGTCGGCTTTGCAATCACGATTTTCGCCACTCGGCTCAAGGCAGTCTTCCGCCCTCGAACTGTGCTGTTCTTGAGTGTCTCTCCTGATCGTTTGCGGTCCATTCAAAGTTTAATTGTCGCAGAGTTGACGCCCAATTCTCTGGCATCCGGAACCTGGGTCACACCGTCCTTGATCATCCCCACCGCGCGGTAGCGGATCGGTAGTTTGTGCCTTTTCACTTTTGGTGATATGCAGTTTCTCCACGTTGCCTGTCTGGACAAGAGTGGCCTCCCGCGCCCACTACCGGCCGTGGTCGGGTTAGCCGCTTGGTTCACGTGATCGTGTGACCAGCAAGATGTCAGTGGTGCCAGAGCCGGTAAAATTGCAATTTTTCAGCACTCGGGAGGGACAACATAACATGCGGCACCAACCGCGCATCAATTTCGGGACACCCTGTAGGTCATCTAAAATAATTGCGTTTTAGGCAAGCTGAATTTACTTTTCGTGTTTTTTTTTACTGCATTTTGGGTAAAAGCTTCTCAGATTATGATTTCATGTAATATGGACACATAAACAATCGGTGCACACATCAGTATACACACATACACACAGACATACAAACATATATCATTGACCTTGACCTAGCTTGACCTGAAATGACCTCAGCAGCAAAAACCTGGTCGGGTAGTGTGACAAAGATGTTCTAGCCGGCTTAGCACCAGAAAACCGCATCGTCATCGGTATATGATAAGCAGCGCACTTGATATCCAACGGTGATCCAAAACAGCAACATTTTTTAGTTTGACCTGACCTGGAAGGTCAATGACTGACCTGAGAAGGTAATACTGGGTATCATTGGATTCGTCTCTTCCCAAAGAATCTTTTTGGTCTTTACCGCGAAGCTCTATCTCCAACAGGAACGAAATGGCGCGGGGGTGGCAACCCCCCCCCCCCCCATGTGCGTTCTAAGATGGTAAAATGGCATGTGCGGGCGAGGGTTAAGCCTATGATCCGAGCGAAACAGATGAGCAAAGCCGCGAAGCGTAAGCGATCGGAGAAGCTCTTGAACCTTAGAAATGCCAAGCGCTGACATTAGGGCAGAATGATGAGCATACACAGGGAGCCCAATGGCTGCCTTTATACTAGAAGATTGAAATAATTCCAGGTTACTTATGTCAGCAGCTCTCAGTGGAGCAACGATGCTCCCAGATGTCAAAGAAGGGGCTACAATCGTACGCCACACGGGCACGTTTTACTCGAGACCGCGCATGCGCTGAGTCACGTAAATCAGTGCTGATGGTCACACCTAGATGCTGTGTTTCAGAGCGGATAGTAACTAAGGAAAACAATGAAATGGATAATATATTGCTTTATAAATATACATTTTGGTATAATGAAATCATTTTTCATTTACATAAATACCGATAGAAGTTATTTTGATATTAACCTTCCAGGCGGTGCACACTGGTCGGAAACGCCCTCACGAGAGGCCACGGGCGATTCCGGAGTTTCGGATTATTTTTTATATAGATCGATTTGAAATTGATCAAATTATTATACTTAGGCCAAAAAAGCTAATCCGGGTGACCAAAAATAGCTGTAATCAGCCCCCGAAGATGGGGTATCCCAGAACTCGGAAACTGACGTGGAGCAAGAGGTTTCTTGAGCCGGATATTCAGAGTCTTATTGCTGATAGACACCAAATTGAAATCCCACATATTATGCATCAAAATGTTCGTTATGAAGTTGCCGACTGGTCAGTGCAAAATTTTTGATATACTTTTTCCCTAACTAAGATGTACTATAGCTTTTTTATGAAGGCTCTCCTACAGTGATTCTGGAATATAACTGCAAAGTTTAGGTAAGGAAACAACAGGTAGTCCCATCTAGTTCCACTCTGATTTTTTGTGAGATGAAGTAGGATTTAAATTTACACCAGGGCAACATAAAAGCTAACTGCGCATATTTGCGCAAAATTTGCAGGAGCCGCTCTTCCTACCCAACTACCGCCCGCCCCGCCCCAGTTTCGGCTCGGCCGCCGCGCCCGGCTTACGCTGACCTGTGTGGCCTGCACGCATCCATGCGTAGTTAACTGGTCATTAAAAACAGATGCGCTTGAGTTTATGAATTTTGTGAAAAGCGCGTTTTATGTATGCATTTATGTATGTATTGACATCAAAAACCTCCCACATATTGCGTGGCGATTACGGCTTGCATTTAGAGAGCCTTGCTATTGACAACCATCACTCGGCTGAAGAAAGTGGAAATTGAAACCTTCGTGAATATAAGGCGCTGCAAATACCTATAGGACACCTGTCACTGACGTCGGGTTACCTTAGGCCGTCTTTTTACATTAGATCACAATTCCGGTATTTAACCCTGGCCGGACCGATTGGTTTTCTACATTGACCGGGGAGGGTTGGTACAACTCCCTCGCCGTTTCGTCTCTAATTGAGCTAGAGCCTCGCGAAAAAAAACAAGCTTGTGTGCCGTTATAAGACGCAAAAATTAGGTACTTCCCGATTTTAAGGTCTTAGGTCAGCCAGTGACCTCTTAGGTCAGGTAAGTGCCACAAGGCACGGGCTCGGTTTTAGGTTAATTACTTTGCCACAAATTTGTCGCACTGCCGCGATTTTGGCATAATCGTGTTTGTCTAGCTCAGGCGCGTTGAATGCTATACTTGGTGTTCGGGTGAAGGCAACTTAACCCTCGCCGGCACAGGCCATTTTGCGTCCTTCGACGGCACAAGGGGGGGGGGGGTTGGTACGACCCCCCTCCCTCGCGTTTGGCCCCTGATCGAGCTAGAGCCTCGCGGAAAAAACGGACGAGCGTGTTGCCCGTCACAAGAGGAAGCCGATGATACCCAATTTTAAGGTCCTAGGTCATCGGGTGACCTTCCAGGTCAGGTCAATGACCCGAAAACCGGGAAAATCGGGACCTGTTAGAAAGTCGTAAATTGTGGTTGCTATGTGGTTTTCCGGGGTGCTGATCACGAATATCGTATTAGTTTTGATCAGAGATGATGTCTTTAAGCATTTAGACCAGGTCGGGTCAGGTCAGGTCAGGTCAACCGGTAGGGGTTTGACGGGTATTCGTAATACGTGTCAACCGCCTCTGACAGCTTCGTAACATGTTACGAAGGCGCCAAAACTACTTCGTAAATGTTCAAATGGTTGCTGAATTAGAATTCAGCTACAAAAACTAGCCTAGAAACATGTAAAACTCGAAAAAGTGAACCAAGGTCACCCGAGGTCACCAAAGGTCAATGATCTGACCTGACCTTCAGGTGACCTTGACACCCATCTTATGTATGGGAGCAACATCAAATCACATGTTTGAACGTTTGAAACCACGAAAAGCTTGCAAAAGCGCGGCTAATGCGAGCCGACATACGCCGAATCGCGATTTCGGCCAAACATGGTCACGGAAAAGAGGTCACAGGTCAAACTTCATTGGGGTCAGGGTCATGAAATTTTCAGGGTAGGTGTAAAATTGATCAATGCGAGGGTACTGAAAGTTTCGTCGCGATCGGCCGCTTTTTACGCGAGTTATTCGCGAAAAACCTTAGGGGGGGGGGTGCATCAACCCCGTGCCGGCGAGGGTTAAGGTGTTAACCTCGGGTCAATGTCAGGTCGGAGTCCCTCAGGTCACGAAAATGGTTGAAGGAGGTCATATCGCATATCATTCGATTCGGCAGGTCTTCCTGAGTCCAATGGTGGCTTTCCCGACTCTCTAGCTCCATCTGATCAGGAGTTATTGACGAAAAACTTACATGGCCTTAGTGACGTCATAAATGACGTCACGCAAAGTCAACAATGCTAAAGTCAAGCACTGGACCTTGCAAGGAGTGCATGAAACCATTCCCGGTGCCCGAATAGCAGCTCCCAATTTCCCTTGTTGACTTAAAGTGGTGCTAGATCCTGTATTATACTCAATTATGACGTCATAACTTAACAGATTTACGTCATATATTTAGTGCTTGACATACAAATGATAGCTTACATATGACAGAGAAGGTATGCAAAGTTTTATGAAGTTTGCTTCACTAGTTGTGGAATAACAAGCAAAAAACTTTTGCGGAAAGGCCGCTGGCCTCTCGCTGGAGCGTTTCCGACCAGTGTGCGGTGGGGGGGGGGGAGGAAATTTTTTGCCCCCCCCCCCTCTTAGTTTTTCGATATATCTCGAGAACCGCTGCGCCGATCGTCACCAAACTCTTGGTACTCTCCCGTGAACAGCTATTGAACATTGTGACCATTTTTTTTCCAAAGGCTATGATAGGTTGGACGCTAATGACGTCAGAGTGACGTCATTTCTGCCACTTTCGACCCCAAAAAAGGTTGGGTGCGTATTATTTAGGCCAGGGTTCATAATGTCCAGGGCAAAATGTGTCCAGTGCTCGAAATGGCCAGTGCCTTGAATTGGCCCGTGTTCACATTGTCCAGGGATTACATGGTCCAAATGTGGCCAACTGGCTGCAGATAGGGTAAATTCAAAGAGGCCAGGGTTCATAATGTCCAGGGCACGATGTGTCCAGTGTTCGAAATGGCCAGGGTTCATAATGTCCAGGGTACGATGTGTCCAGTGTTCGAAATGACCAGGGTTCATAATGTCCAGGGCACGATGTGTCCAGTGTTCAAAATGGCCAGTGCCTTGAATGGGCCAGAGTTCATAGTGTCCAGGGATTACATAGTCAACCAAACCTAACCTAACCTTACCTAACCTAACCTAACCTAACCTAACCTAACCTAACCTAACCTAACCTAACCTAACCTAACCTAACCTAACCTAACCTAACCTAACCTAACCTAACCTAACCTAACCTAACCTAACCTAACCTAACCTAACCTAACCTAACCTAACCTAACCTAACCTAACCTACGGTAATGATGTTTGCCTACCGGGGATAAGGAAATAGTTTCTCGCATGAATAGATTGCAAGCAATAGTAAATCAAATATTTTTAGGTTAAGTGGTAAGCCAGATACATAACCACTTAACCTAAAAATATTTGATTTACTATTGCCTGTAATCTCTCCTAAGGCATTGCCTTCGGCACTGCACTGCTTCGCATTGAGCTGGTTCCGTGTTTTTTACATTATGACGTCACTATCAGTGACTATGTAATCCCTGGACATTATGCACTCTGGCCCATTCAAGGCACTGGCCATTTTGAACACTGGACATATCGTGCCCTGGACATTATGAACCCTGGCCATTTCGAACACTGGACACATCGTGTCCTGGACATTATGAACCCTGGCCATTTCGAACACTGGACACATCGTGCCCTGGACATTATGAACCCTGGCCTCTTTGAATATACCCTATCTGCAGCCAGTTGGCCGCATTTGGACCATGCAATCCCTGGACACTATGAACTCTGGCCCATTCAAGGCACTGGCCATTTCGACACTGGGCATATCGTACCCTGGACATTATGAACCCTGGCCAGAATGAATGCTCCCCAAAAGGTTTCGCGAGAAGAGCTGTCAGGCCTACAGCTTTAGAGATACAGAAAAATGCTTCAACATAAAAGGTGTAAAATTTAGAGGGCTACAAAACTGCTATCTCGGATTTTTGAAATTTTTGGATTTTGACCCCAAAAATCAAAAAATAATTTTTTTTTGAATATAATAGCCGAAAAATCCAAAAAGTTTTTTGAATTTCGAAAAAAAAACCGGAAGATATGTGATAGTCCCTACCGCCTTCTATCTACATACATACCAAATTTGAGATCGATTTATTATACCTCTTTTTCTGGCCAAGTTATAGCGAAAAAACTGGTCAAAATTGATGACGTCAAATTCTCAAACTCAATTTTTAGCAATTCTAGACCTCGTAGCGCAAAACAAAGACCACCATTAGACTCCCCGTGACAGCTTTGCACAGCTTTGCATTGGAGTTTTGTAGCCCCGTTTGCATCATCATATCCTATCCTATCATGAATCGAGTAACACAAGTCTTCTGTTCCCTTGTCAACCCAGTCAAATTGTGTGGAGGCAAAAACATAGTTTTGCCCCCATGGCCTCCTGTCAGTGGGAGCAGTCTGCCCCCACTGCCCCCACGGTGGCGCCGCCCTTGCTCCAGAAGGGTATGAGTACGTACGGAGACCTTACGTAAGGAAGAGAGAACCTGACAGTGTTGACGAGTGAACCTATGCAGCATTCCTTGTATTGTCGCCTGGTGGCCGATACAGGTGCGGGAGGGGGGGGGGGGCGCAGCGCCGGTGCCGGCTCACTCACCGACTCTCCAGCTGACCCTTTTTCAGGGTGGCCTTCAGCGACGACATGTCCTTGGCCTTCATCCAGCTGCAGAAAAACTCCACGATGAAGTTGGCCGCCACCATGTCCTTGATCAGATGTTCCTGAGCACAGCACCACAGCGGGCCCGGTCAGACCGGTGGGCAGGAGATTGGCACTCATTTTCACAAGTTTAAATCTTCATTGGGACACACTCATACTATTCCACTGGGCGTAAAAAAACAGCGTGTGAATAATATTTTAGCAAAATTTTGATGTTTAGGGGTCGCTCAACGACGTATTTTCTTTTTTTTTGTAGAAAAAGTGCAATCATTCAGTGATGTAACCATTCAGTTTATAGTTATTCTGAACGTTTTTGAACTCAAAATTGCTATTTCTGGGTTTGTTATATTGATATTGAGTAAATTAAATGGATGAAGTAATTCCATGATTTTATTCTGCATCAATTACTATCACGAGTAAGGATCAGGCTGCAGGAGGTCTCCTTGGCACCCAACCCCCACACATTTTCAGCCGTTTTCAAATCTTCTGGCAGCTATGTACTCGCTACAAACGCAATTGAAGGAGGTAAGAACGATGAGGTGCTCGCGTCAGATACCAAAAGTGGTGACCAAAGATGTAAGCTGTAGCCTTGGCTAATCCTTTGTCGTTATTATTATCATTACCATATTATACAGGTTGTCTCAAAAGTTCGTTGACACATTTCCAAAGCCAATTAAACATATAAAAACCAGCCCAAATCCTAAGGTTTTGATGTATTGTATATGTGTCAAATTGACAAAGATGCAAACTTTGAACTAATTAGGAACCAGACTTGTGCCAAGGTCCCAAAAAGGTCCGAGATCCAGGGTTCGCACAGTCCAAGGTCTGGGACCTTGATGGATCCTGGAGCTTGCATTGTCTTTTTTGCCGTGAGACCTCGGAAACCCAGGACCTTAAAACATCCATATGCCGTGAGACCTTGGAATCCCAGGACCTCAACATTTGCATATGTCGCGAGACCTTGGAATCCCAGGACTCAACATTTGCATATGCCGCGAGACTTTGGAATCCCAGGACATCAACATTTCATGTGACATGAGACCTTAGAAACCCAGGACCTCAGCATTTCATATGCCAAGAAACCATGGAAACCCAGGGGTCAGGACCTCAAAATTTTGGTATGCTGCAAGACCCTACAGAATGCAGACCTACAGTCCCAGTTTTATTATTTGTCACGGGATTTTGGGAGAAGGGTCTGGACCTACACCATCATTTTGTTGAGGGACCTCAAGAATCCTGGAAGCTGGACCATCAGGTTTATGAAGTAAATCTGCTCATCAAAATGTTAGTTTAAGTTTTTGTTGTGGGACCCTGAATACTTTGGATCCTGAGATGTATTATTGCCATGGAATCTTGAGGACTGTGGACCCTGAACTCTGAAACAAATGATTGCAGTGCTTTCTGCTTTCTATGGCCTTGAATGATTGTTTTTTTGTTTATAATTGCTATTGTAAGAACAGCAAATATTTTTTTGTTTAATTACCTAATAATTATTGTTTTAAACATCATATTTAATCTTATTTTAGTTAAATCAAAGCAATTAAATCATTTTATATTAATAGTTAAATAATTCACAGAACAAAAATATTTTTACGGAGCGAGCGAAGCGAGCGGAGTCTTTCCTTAGATTAAAGGTAGTGTGCCAGCTTTCCTGGACCGTATGGAGTTAATGGCCCAGATAAGGAGAACCGGATTTTTAGAACTTATCCATACCTTCAAAACTCGTGGAAACGTCTTAAATTCTTCAAATTTTGAGTACCCCAGTGCGAAATTCGCCCCGACGGGTTGTCGGTCGTACCCCAACCACATTTCACACCACTATGAACAATAAATGCACACACTGAAATCGCTATTACCGATATGCTCATCCAATCAAGTTTCGATAAACCCGTTCATCATCATCTCCTGCGGTTTCGAACACGCCTGTTAGGTGGTGCGGTAGACCGCGCCCAAAGCCAGGGCCCCGGTAACGTGAGGTAGCCGAGTCGGGGCAGCGTGCGCTGACCCAAGCCGGGGCCGCGCGTCCTCCCGGTGTCATGTGATAGCCCGGGGCTGCCCGCGGGGATGCGGTAGACCGCGCCCAAAGCTGCGGCCCCGGCTTGGGTCAGCGCACGCTGCCCCGACTCGGCTACCTCACGTTACCGGGGCCCTGGCTTTGGGTGCGGCTTCTGCTCATACTTTGTGGTGCGGTGGTGGTGCGTCGGGCCGCGCGCTCTGACTTCGGCCAAGAAAAATGCGTCAGCTGATCATTGTCATTTCTGCCACTTGCGTGTGGTGAAATGGGGTCATAACTTAACCCTAGAACGCCTAGGGGGGGGGGGTTGTTTCAACCCCCCCCCCCTGAGGTTTTTTCGAAGTGCACGCTAAACGGCTTGTCGTAGCGGGCTGAAATTTTCAATACCCTCTGGGGCAGCCTTTGCGCATCTTTTGCCGAAAAAAATTGATCGGGTCATGTCAGGTCACGGAGTTATGACGTCATAAGAGGTACAGCCTCCGGCCGACAGTTACCAAACGTGTGCGCCGAATCCCTAGGTTTTCTGCCGGTGATACCCACATTGTTTGATGGATCATGATGAAACATCCCATGCATGTTGGGGCAAGCATTGGCTATCGTGTGGTGCAAAAAAATTGACCGGGTCAGGTCAGGTCACGGAGCTATGACGTCACAAGAGGAACAGCGTCCGGTACTATTTTTGAAAAGCGCCCGAACCACTATTTTGCTAATTCTTGTCACCTCAATGGGAATATGCAGCAATATTAGCTTCTATAGGGAGCAAATGGACCTCCCAAATCCAAAAATACAATCAGATTTCAAAAATTTAAATTTTGATTTTTCGAATTTCTGCCGCCGACTGTGACCTTGCCGACTTCCGGCGCTCCCAACGCGCCATTTTTAGAGCTAGGGAAACGAAATACATACCAAACGATAGAGAATTGATCAAGGAACACGATAGTGAAGGTTTCAAGTCGATATCTCCCACCGTTTTGCCGCAATCGCCGCGGAAAGTTGAAAAAGTTTGATTTTTTCGGAAAATTTGACCTTTGACCGGTCATAAGTAGGTCAAATGTTGACCTAGGACCAAAAAATATACCACCAATCGGGAGATCTCGTTGAGAGCAATCCGTTGGTTTTTTCCGCTAAGCTCTACGACCTTCCGTTTCGAAACGCCAGGGGGGGGGGGTCGTAACCCCCCCCCCCCCCTGGTCGTTCGTGTAATGAGAAATGGCCTGGTCGTGCGAGGGTTAAAGGTAGTGTGCCAGCTTTCCTGGACCGTATGGAGTTAATGGCCCAGATAAGGAGAACCGGATTTTTAGAACTTATCCATACCTTCAAAACTCATGGAAACGTCTTAAATTCTTCAAATTTTGAGTACCCCAGTGCGAAATTCGCCCCGACGGGTTGTCGGTCGTACCCCAACCACATTTCACACCACTATGAACAATAAATGCACACACTGAAATCGCTATTACCGATATGCTCATCCAATCAAGTTTCCATAAACCCGTTCATCATCAGCTCCTGCGGTTTCGAACACGCCTTTTAGGTGGTGCGGTAGACCGCGCCCAAAGCCCGGGCCCCGGTAACGTGAGGTAGCCGAGTCGGGGCAGCGTGCGCTGATCCAAGCCGGAGCCGCGCGTCCTCCCGGTGTCATGTGATAGCCCGGGGCTGCCCGCGGGGATGCGTAGACCGCGCCCAAAGCTGCGGCCCCGGCTTGGGTCAGCGCACGCTGCCCCGACTCGGCTACCTCACGTTACCGGGGCCCTGGCTTTGGGCGCAGCTTCTGCTCATACTTTGTGGTGCGGTGGTGGTGCGTCGGGCTGCGCGCTCTGACTTCGGCCAAGAAAAATGCGTCAGCTGATCATTGTCATTTCTGCCACTTGCGTGTGGTGAAATGGGGTCATAACTTATGAGACGGCTTTTTCATATCAATTATTTTACATAAAATCATATTTCAAACCATAAATAATGTTCGACAGCCAAATAAAAGAAACAATACCAATACAGGCTTACAGTTTAAGGCTCGACAATGTGTTGTCTACGATTAGACAGCTGATAACTCATTCCCGTACGACGTATGGTCGTAATACTATAATGACCTTTGCTTATTGTCACATGTGCGCCGCATTCGCGATTGTTGCCGACGCTTGGCGGACGCCTGTTTGCAGGTGAGCCCACTACAGTTGTTATATATATCGAAAAACCGATAAACTTTTAGGCGAAAAAGGCACTATTCCAGGCCCATTTTTGATTTTTTTTTGCGATATTAGGTAAAAACAGAAGCTTCTTATCCTAGGAAAAATAAAATGGGAAATCTTTCAAAGGTGGCACACTACCTTTAAGAGACGGCTTTTTCATATCAATTATTTTACATAAAATCATATTTCAAACCATAAATAATGTTCGACAGCCAAATAAAAGAAACAATACCAATACAGGCTTACAGTTTAAGGCTCGACATTGTGTTGTCTACGATTAGACAGCTGATAACTCATTCCCGTACGTCGTAACTCTATAATGACCTTTGCTTATTGTCACATGTGCGCCGCATTCGCGATTGTTGCCGACGCCTGTTTGCACGTCAGCCCACTACAGTTGTTATACATATCGAAAAACCGATAGACTTTTAGGCGAAAAAGGCACTATTCCAGGCCCATTTTTGATTTTTTTTGCGATATTTGGTAAAAACAGAAGCTTCTTATCCTAGGAAAAATAAAATAGGAAATCTTTCAAAGGTGGCACACTACCTTTAACGGAAATTTCCGAGTATGAGCGGTCGGCCGGCCGGCCGTGCGGACGCTTTTGCGAGGCTTATATCTCAGCAACCACTTGACCGATTTACACGCGGTAATTTTTGTGGGGTAGCTTCATTCCTTTTACCAAGTATTGGACTATTCCCGATGCACGTGGGTGACCCCTTATGCACGTGCCACGTGCAAAACGAAGAGGTGTCAGTTTTGTAATTGTTGCAATATCTCGGTAACTACTTGGCCGATTGCGCTGAAAGTTGGCATGTAGGTAGGCACGCTTAGTTGGGTGCCGTGCACCTGGGCATACTGATAC